GCATGCCACTTATGTAAGCAGGAATGTTCCACATGTAAATTGTATGTTGATATATTTCTAGCGTTCTACCCCCGGCCCCTTCGACCAGCGTTCTAACTTGTGGCAGATCAATGGACAAGATTTCCTGGGCAACACGCCTTTACACCTCGCTGCAAGAATTGGCCCGGCGCTGAGATGGTCTCCATTAGGCTGGACACAACGCGCGAAAAGTGTGACAATGTCTCCATATGTGTTCTATAAATGCATTGTGAACACCATTCTTATATATTACATTATACTACACATTTGCGGATGTAGATATTAGATATGCTGTACCTTTTCAATTTGGTAATGTCACTTTAAGACAGAAACACATTTGATTGCTTAACTCTGGCTGAGTGACACGCCTCTTCGCCTTGGTACTCTCCGGACTTCCCTAAGGTCGCAGCGAGGCGGTGCTTGCGGGGTTCCGTGGATCATGACAGCGAAACATGAAATTTTGCTGCCTGCACTACCCCAAAAAGGGATGAATCAGGGGTTTTGAGGCTGTTTCTAGAAACAACTATAGATTCAGAGATTTTGGCCGGGCACCTGTTGTGCAGTAGTTTTTCCCATAATTTCGCCCAGGTGAAATGTCAGCATCTTCCAAGAATCATCATCAACACCTCTCCACGCCTTTGAAGGATCTGACACGTAGGTGAATCGGTGAATCCGAGCGGTTGGCCCACTAAAATTGTCGGCCTTTGCTGTCCCACTTACCGCGCATATGATGAATAGCGTAAATGTGAATATGAATATGATTAATGCATGCAGTATATAATATGCAACATTCTGTAAGTTGGTATTATATATATATTTGTATGTGTGGGATTATATTTTATAATATATATTCTACTCTCTAAAGGCACACATATATATATATTTATAATGTGACCTGTATATAAGATAGGCTTAAATACAACATATATATATATGTATATATAATTACATTTATTTTTAGACCTGGTGTCATACCAACATAGTAATATAGACAACACACAACATAGATGTAATCGTCTAATCTACTAGTCATTATTTATCATTATTATTAACCATTATCAATCACCATGAACCATTCATGAACCACTATTTACCTAAATAATTCAACCAGATAGTATCAAACTCGCCAGGCTGCCAAGACGCTGCTGGCCTTGAAGGTGCCGGATTTCTGTTACATCCCTTAAAGTCATGGAGCACTGAAACAGATCTTACCGACTTTTCGGGACTGTCAGGAATTTATAATGATTTAATTTTAGTCCAGTGATATTATAAGGATATATAATAGGGATTTTTAGTGATTAATAGAGATTTGTAGTAATTTAAAGTAATGTATAGTGATTTATAGGGATATTATAGGGATTTATAGGGATACTTTAGTGGTTCATAGTAATTTACAAGGATATAGGGATATATATATATATATATATTTACAAATTTATAAATATGGATTTATAGGGATATGAGTAGGGTTTATAGGAGCCTTATTATTGGGAGAATCATTGGGATATCATGGGAACGTACTCTTTGAAAATCCCTTGCTGCCCCACCATTTGGCCCGTGGCGCCACTGGCCAGGCGCATCCAGGTCTCAAAGACAAGAAAGGCTGGCTTGGGCCACTGGGCATGGCATGGAAAGAGGATGATGTACCCTCTGGTAAACTAACAGGTCGTGCCGTCTGCAAACTGGTGCTAAAATTGCACCTTTTTGCATCAGCTAGCGTTGCAAGCGCAACTTTTTGAAGACATTGAAAATATTAGTTGTTTAAAAGAAAGGTAAAGACCCTAACATTCCCCGACAAGTTAATTTCACATATTTAAACATAAATATATATATATATACATATATATACACATGATTTGAATGTTAATACATGTATATATATATATACACATTTGATCAATATATATATATATATATGTATATATATATAAATAAAAACATATATGTATATATATATATGTATATTTACGTAAGTTAATATTTATATATATATATATATATTTATTATGTGTATACCTATGTAGAAGAAGATATGTACATGTATACGTATATAATTATGAAAATAAATGTTTGTCTATACATATGTTTATATACATATATATGTATCTAAATGATAATGTACTTTTATATGTATACATTATATATATATATAAATATAACCCAGCCAACCCCGAAGTTCACGAAGCATACATGACGTGAACAAATTGACAGGGACGTTAACACCCCCCCACCCAAACCACGAAGTTCACGAAGCATACATGACGTGAGCAAGTTGACAAGGACGTTAACATCCCCCACCCCAAACCCTTAAAAGAAACAAACAAAAGGGGTTCGTTACCAGTTGCCTGGAGATGGCGCTGGGAACTAACATAGCTATCTGGGTAAATTATAACGACGTCGCTGCGACCTCACTATAATCATGGTTAGTAAGGGGAAACATCCCCAAGATAGCCTTATTTCAGTTGAATTTTTATAATTTACAAAAATAGTTATGGAAAATCACCACTGTTAATGGGTAAATCAACTATTTCTATGGCCATTTTCAATAGCCATCTGTTTGTTTACCAGAGGGTGGATTTTTTTGGGGGGGGCTCTTTAAGGTACCATGCCGAGATAGTTTGAAGATATCATTTTAGTGTGATGGCAGACAGAGTTCTGGCCCCATCTGGTGAGCAGAGTCTAAGATGACAATCCCAGATCACCAGCATATTTTTTTGGTGCTGATTGAAAGGACCTAGGACCTTGTCTACATTCAATCGTTTGGTATGCTTTCCTTGTGAAATAATTCTCAACAAGTTTCATATCTAGGTTTACCATTGCAAACCTAGGTTTTATACTCACTTTGCCATTTTGTACAATAAAACTATGTATATAACTTTATACCTATTGATAACTTACGGTCCCAGTGGAAATGTTCATGTTTTGTTCATTGCGTATGAATTTTGCAATTGAACATATCGTTGTTGATTGGCCAACACAGGGCTTATACAATTTGGTTTGTTGGTTGTTGGGGATTATCATAATCCATTATGGGAATTCTTATCAACCAGCCAGTATAATGGCGCAATTGATTCAGATTGGATAGTCATTGGAAATATCGATTGAACCAAATGAGTGCCATTTGTGAATGGATTGGTTTAAAGTTTAAAGGAAAAATAGCGGAGCCCCCAACTTTTTGTTGGAAAAACCCTGGTTTTCAGCTAAAAGTGTCCCAAGAAAACTCAGTGATCCATAGATAGTTGGCATTTTTCACTTTCCCATCTATTTTTCTGTTATTTCTTCGACATGTTCCCAATAAGTTTCCCGTTTTTTAACGCAGGACGCACGCCGCTGATGGTCGCAGCCGCTGCCAGTCTGGATGACGTCCGCGCAGCGCCGTGCCTTGGCGCCGGTCGATGGGGATGCCGTCGTCCGGTTGCAGCGTGGGCGGTAGCCCCTAGTAATTTAATGGTGATTTAATGGTTTAACATTGGGTTAACAATGGTGAATAATGGAATGATATGGGTTTACCCTCTTTATGTTGATTTACCGATTGAAAATGGTGATTTCCCATGGCTACGTTAAATAACCACAGGGTACATCATCCCATTTCATCCTTTCGTTGGTTTATGGTATAAATAATAGCTGTTACATTTCATCCCATTGCATGGTACGTATGCTTCATCCAATAGTTGGTTTATAAATCCCATGTGGTGCTATTCATATATCTCATTCATATCCTATAACACATGTTACCCTCTGGTAATTTAACAGTTTGCTATTCAAAATGACCATATAAATAGTTGATTGACCTATGACAAATGTGGATTTTCCATAGCTACGTTAGTTTACCAGAGGGTAGCATCAGTTGGGATTGCTGGTTTGGGACATGGTGATTTAATATGAATTCCTCATAGGATTTGAATGGTTACCCCTATCATTTCCTGATAGCTGATGGATTTGAATGGTTAGCCAAACTTAAAGGTGTGCCGATGATATTTGATGATATTGATTTCATGGTCTATTCGGTGGAACACCATGAACAATTAAAGCAAAATAATTTATTCGATCATTGGAATTTCTGGATGTTTAACCACTGAATAGTTGAAATGGGAAATAAACAAACAACAGTATGGGGAGATGTAATGCAAATATAAAACGGGATATGCAACCAAGAATGCGGATTGTTACAGGAGGCTTTGTCTCAAAGTGGGTAACTCAATATACTGCCATCTTATGTGTGAACATGGTGATAAACCAGAGGATTTAGGTGCAAAATAGGTGCCCTCTTGCAGCTGTTTTCCTCCGGGTACCGCAGGATGTACAACAAAGATTGCAACTGAATTGTAGCAATGGAAGTACCCATAGCCGCCCCCTTTGTAGACATGTTTTTCAGATTATTGTCTTATTGAACGTGGGGATTTCCAATGTTTTGACGGCGAAGTCAGTGGGCCAAAGCAACCCCAGATGACTCAAGAGCTTGAAACCATGTTCAAGGCTCTTCCGAGCCTTGGTGCTTTGCGGCCTTGCCGGACATCATATCATCATATCCGTGACATCCCCTTCATTCATCAAAGTTCTCGATCTTCTTTTTCATTATATTTCATGGTTTTCCACCACAAACCTGTGGTCGAACTGCAGATGTCTACCATATCCTACCATCCCGGATTGGGTTGAATTACGACGTTTTGGAACTTGTTATTTCCAGATGGTAAATCCATGCTGTTTGAAGCAGACAAAGATTGGTCAGCAATTCATCATCACCATTAAAAGGGATGACTGGAGCAACTGGCAGGTAAAATAGCGGCATCATCGGACGCAATCTTTAGATATCTTTAGGATTTCCACATTATTATGGGACTAGTAGGTAAATAGTGTAGGTAGTACCTCAAACCCATGGAATTCCTTTGTGAGTTCCCTAGGATTTTTACCTTTTCTGCACCTCAAACCCACGGCTTTCCCGGTCTGTTCCCAACCCTTTGCCCCGGCCATGCTGCGCCATGGCACCCAGCTGGCGGAGCAGGGCCGCTTCGTCGAGGCCGCTGAGGCTTTCGCCGCGGCCGCAGCGGCAGAAGCGACGCCAGAGGCGTTTGAGGCGCTGGCGCAGTGTGGCTGGGCTGTGGCTGTGGTGATTTTTGATAGGTTTGTTTCATGATGTTTTTTTCTTGGTTGATGTTGGTTCAAAGTCTTTAGCGGAAATCATAGCAACATACGGGGACATATAGGGAAATCTGCAAAGTAAATGGATGTTTATAGCTGGGACATGATCTATAGTTGGATGAATTACAATGAAGAAAAGTAACGCAAGAAAAACGGGACAGGACTAGGACTATCCCCCATTCAATTGGACTTTGGGACTACATCGTCTTGGAGGCTTTTAATTATTGGCTTTTGGTTGGACATAGTTCTTTAATCGCAATCTTTACATATAGGCTATAGGATTACTATGTGTTTATCAAACGTGGTTGGAAAATAACGGTTAAAGTTAAATTATGGATTTTCCATCACGTCATTTTTGATTACAGCAGGGTAAGCAAGAAACACATAGTAAGTTTATATTGGCTTATAAATTGTAACTGTCATGTTCATTTTGTGCAGATAGAGTTCTATGGAAAATGATGGATGTAATGGCAATGAAGGATCAAACATGAGGCTATCATGGGTATATAACTCTATGATGTGATGTCATTTTAAAACTGCGGCGTGTAAATAAATCGGATGACGTGGGATGATGGTGCGGTTGTGATTGCTTAATGTCAACCTAGGAAAATTAAATTATCACCATTTTGCACAGTTAATAGATGGTTATTGGTCAATGCAGGGTTGAGCCTACTTATTGACTGGGGTTCTGTTATTGTGGTTGAATGAATTGAGTGGGGTGGTATTGGGGCGATACTGTTTTGCAAGGAGTTGGAATGAGGCTTTTGAAATTCTGATGCATTATTGATGCATTCAAAATGCGTGTTTTTTTACACAGCATTGATGCAGTAGGATTATACACGGCTATACACGGCTATACACGGCTTTGATAGGGAATGGGAATTCTGATGCATTATTGATGCACCCGTGACGCACTGAGAATGCGGATTGTTTTATAATTACACGGCATTGATGGCACGTATCATGCCTGTTCTTACGATGTGTGCTGGATGATGTAGATCTGCAAATGCCGGTGTTGCAGGAAGCCAGTCTTGCACATTTAACCAGCATGTGGTTCTTTCTTGTTCGTGGTTTGGGGAACAGATGTTGGAACGTGGGGACTCTTGAGAACCCAGATTCCAATATGAACATGTCGTCCTGTCTTTTTGAAATACATATGCATGAATGGGTGTACTGTATAGGGTATATACTGTATACGGTATACGAAATTGTAATCTAACCATCCCTTATTTTACAACAAATGCTTGAGACTAAAGCTAATACCCAAGCGGTGATACACTTGGGGTTTGTTATGCTCTAGATTTACCACCATGATCGCACTTCAAAAAAGCATCGAAAACAAGAAACTCAGTACAACGAAGCATGCAAAGTGATCATGGAACGTTCCACCTTTTCTGCCTTAGATTCCACCAACTTTCCCCGATGAGGCGAACTCATGTCGGACTCCGTGGCCGCCGGCCATCGCGCGGTGACGGCAGCGAGGTACCGCGAAACGCGATTGGGAAGTTTTTGTGGGAGATTCTTGGGATTGAAGCAACAAAAACATGGGGATTATGTATCAACCATGGGATATATATATATATAAATAATATGATCTGGTTGGTGGTTTGGAACATTTTGTTATTTTTCCATATGTTGGGAATAATCATTCCAACTGACTAATTTTTCAGAGGGTTTGAAAACATCAACCAGTGATATATTGGGATAAGTAGGCCAAGTATACCAGTATAACATCGTGGTAATCGGACCTAGCTGTTGAACATCACTGTTTGTGATAGGCAAATTATCTATCAACGGGTGATATAGCTATCGAAAATCACAATGTTTGACAGGCAAATGATGCCATTTGTTTCTCTCTCTCTCTATACTGTAAATGGGTCATGTTTATTGCTTGAAAAAATGCCATTTCCATAGACATGTAGCTAAAGTATAGTTAATACATATAATATAACAGTACTTATGTATAGTTAAGGTATAGTTATACTTCTATATTTACCAGGAGCTAAGATCAAGAATCGGGGACTCAACCGGTCCCCAAGCTGAAGCCCCAAGAATCGGTGGCGAAGATCCCCCCCGGTTGCATCACCAAGCGCTGTGTTGATGGTCTCAACGTTGAAACAACGTGGCTACCGCAAGATAGGTCACAAAACAAGACCCATCATAGTAACAGTAACATATACGAATATAAAAAGAATGCAACTGCAAGAAAAAAACATTATATATATATTTATAACTATATGATGTATTAATATATATACATATACATATTATATTATTGAGATGATGGGAAGAGAGATATTATAGAATATATAGGTGGAGGCCCAGGGCACCAAAAAGTTATGGTTGATTTCAAGTTTCTCATCTTTACATTCTAAATTATGTTTTCAAAACCCCGTTAGCTATAGTTATATTCCCTAAACTTATGGTTGATTTCAAGTTTCTCATCTTTACATTCTAAATTATGTTTTCAAAACCCTGTTAGCTATAGTTATATTCCCTAAACCCAAACGTTAAGCACATTATAAACCGACTTGGCCATCATAAATCAACCAAAAAAATCTCACAATTTTTGGTGGTTAAATCATCATGTTCCTATGGTTTCCTATGGTTTCCGGAAATACTGATCTGGATTTCTTCTAGTGCCCCAGGCAGGCAGTGCGCTTATCTCCTGGTGAAACTTTGACGCTGGCGCCTTGCTTTGAGCTGCGAAATAACACAACAAGTTGGGAAACCAATAGATTTCTACAACAATTTAATAGGGATTTATGGGGATTTAATATGGATTGATCATGATTTAGGGGGATATTCTGTATTGGGACAATGATTGGGGGAATAATTTGTTTGGAAACAGATATCTCTACGACTAGTCTGGTAGGATTTACCTTTTCTATGTATTTGGGAGTTTGCGAAATATATATGAATATGACCTTCACCAAAGTATCACAGATGTGTTGCGCCACTTGACAATTGTTGTTTTTTGGTTTTCTGGCAACATACGCAGTCCAATTCCAATGATGGGTTTATACGGTTTTATAGAGGGGTCCTGCTATGCCATTGTTTTTGTGTGGCTGGAAAACAACAATCAAGTATCATGTGATCAGTGACCAATACCTCGTTCGGTTTTTGGATATAGGGTATCCCGTGGTATCTCCGATTCGGAATATCATAATTTTCTGGATATTGTGCAGTCAACAGGATAAATAACAGGATATTATGGATAATCTAATAGGGTATCACCTGGATACTATGGAAAGCATAGCAATTTTCCAGGTGATTTTAACCCACCAGTTATTCCAACGGAAGAACACATGCAGACCCTGGTCCCAAGGAGGATGCCACATTGACGCTGGCGCGTGCCTTGAGAACCACCTTGGATATTCCTGGGGAGCCTGGGTTCAACGCTGCTGCAGGGATGGCCAGTTTTGATATGAACCTTTGGAGAGATTTGATCTGTCGCGTGCAAAAAATGAAGAGGTTTGGGGCTAGGTTTGTGACACTTGAACTGTTTGACCTTTAAGCATCCCGAAAAGGTTGTTGCTGAAGCATCTATCGCGGTTCTTTGCGTTTGGCACTTGCCAATCATCCCAATAAATGTGAAGGCGATGCACAAGACCCCTGTTTTTGGCATAGTTTGCACTGCACCATGTTAATTGTTTCTCCATTGTCATGTTTCTATTCTTTTGTGTCAATTGTATTCAATTGTTCTGTTCTTTTTGCACGCACTTCTTGCCAACTTTCTTACATTCACCTTTTTGTATTTGCTGGTATTGGTTCAGATCCGGATTACTGCGGCGTTTGTGTCTTGTTGATCCAACGAAACACATCCATGAGCTACAAAGTGGCGCCCCTCATTCGCATTTGCTGTTTTGACCACCCTTATTTGCCATTAACCGCTAGCCACCTCTAAGTAGGTCCACTCAGGCTTTATTGTGATTATAATTATAACCATACAAAAACATAAAATAGTGATTATAACCATCAAATAACCTATGTATTGAAACGGCTTTCTACTGGTTTTCCCACATTTTTCGAAGGGCACCTCAGGCCATCGCGGCCTATCAGCAGCTTCCAGCGGAGCTGCTGAGAACCTCCGTCGCAGCGGAGCTGGCGGAGGCTGAAGCGCAGCTGCCGCGGCATCGGCGGCGCCTGAAGCGCTGCCCGCAGCGGGCCCAGACCTGGGAAGAACGGCTGTTGCGGGCGGGGACCGGGACGGCCGGGACGGGGCCGAGATTTTTGGCGAAGTTGGTTGAGACGTATGGGGTTATGGTAGACTTAAATATATAGTTGATGTATGTGAATGTGTTTTTATGATGGGGAAATCATGGGAATTGGATGTGGATATCCCGAAAATAGCTAAACTTTTGAGTTTAGCAAATGTTTACTTTGGAGGAGCCTTGAACTTAGAGGGGGTATAGCATTGCTAATAACATAAGTTATAAGGGCTTTAACTTAGGTTATAAGGCTCGTAAGTCGTAAGTTCATCGTAAGTTCAAGTAAAAATTTGTTAGTTATATCATAGTTGAGGAAGTTATAAGTAGAATTCTTCGAAATTATAAAGAAGATAGAAAGAAGTTACAGAAGTTACGAAGTGGAGCAAAAAACATGTTGTTTTGATTGTGTTGTGAAAATCAAGTTGAAAATGTAGGGTGTGCCAAGTTTTGGCTCGAGAAGCAATGGCTGCGGTTGAGAAGCAGCTGGAAGCGGCGCAACGCTTCCTGCGCGGGGTTCGTTCGCTTCCGTCCTACGAGGACATCCAGACTAAACAACTGAAAGGACTTTTGCATTGCCTGGACAAGGTGAAGGACCTGAGTACGGCTCAGGCTGGGATTTTCTTGGATGCACTTGATCCGGAGTTGTGGTCGGAGGAAGCGAGGGAAAAGTTGCGACTACGTGTCGCGGAGAAGACTTCCCATGGGGAAGAAGAAGGAGGAGTGCGAAGGCCAATGCAAGACTTCACGCAGATAATCAATTTTCTGACGGAGGATTTGGCAGCGGCAATTTTGGGAGGACAGGCAAGTCCTGACCGGCTGCTGCGCATCTCTCGGCGCTTTGTACGATGTGGTTTGTTGCTTACAACGCTGCGAAATTGACGTGGCCCATGGTACTCAATTGATGCCTTTGCAACAACACCACATGAAATGCTTCCAAGAAGCGTACGGCGCTTCGCACACGAGACCCAAAGCTCATTATGCTATGCATCTCCCCGCGCAAATGCAAAGGTGGCAACGACACATTGATTGCTACGTGGGTGAACGAAAACATCGTCTCTTCAAACGATATGTTGGCCCCAAAATATCGAAATTGGAAGGTTACGCCAAGAGCGTTCTGCTGCACTTACTGACATGGAACTACCCATTCCTGAACCAAAGGAAAGATGGACGGGCGAAGTGCTCGGTGTTCTACGTGAAGACCCAGAGACAGCCCACAGAGTTGGCATGCCCAAGTCGGCATTGTTTGCAACAGGCCTCGAGGTCGGATGTGTTGAATTTGCGCGCGGCACCTACCTGCGCATCTCTCAAACTACTTCGGTTGAAGTGCATGGCTGCGTTGCTTCTGCGCAGTGTTTTTTTTGCTGGTGCAACCGCTCCATTGGCATAGTGCATCAGACCATCGCTTTCCTAAGTGGAAAAGAGAAGATGGCAAATTGGCCCTGATTACGTGGGTCAACTATAGCCAAAGATACAATCATATTCACACATCCTTCAAAAAAACTGCGGAATCATAAAAAAAACTGAAATAACAAAAACATTTTAAAAAAACATACTAAAACTTATGATGAACTTACGATGAACTTACGATGGACTTAACATAGCATCTAGATATAACTTATTTATAAGTTCTTGCTAAGTAACATAAGTTCAAGATTCCTCCAAAGTATGTTTTATTTGAAGTATGAGCAAGGTGGAGAGAAATAGTTTGTTGTGTTTATTTGCCTTGTTTTTGGAATTGTATTATGTATATATATATATATAATTGTTTCAAATGAATGGGAAGATCGGTTGTAGGGGCAAAGGAATCATCATGAATCATCCCTATATCATGTCCAAATCAGAACCGCAAGACAACACCCCGATATCCAATGGTACATAAACCATCTACAAATGTGATCAATTGAGCGTATTTTCCTTTGCTAGTCGTTATTTTCGTAGATGGAAGGGTGCAGGGATGAGCATAGGAGGCAGGATGGAAAAAAATCACTCGGCTCCACATCCAAGTGCGGGAAATATCAAGAGGATGCCAATAGAGCAAGTGAATGTCAATAAACCATCAGCGTTTTTCCGATGCGTTCATGTCTTGCATTCAAGGAGAGTTCAGGATGAGTTTCCTAGTGAGGAATGCGTCCGGTACGTTGCCATTAGTGGCCGGGAATATTTGGGATGCGGTGTAACTCATCGACTCATCGGCCATTCTATGCAAAATGCATCGAAGCAGCTATTTGGAATTCGCACTAACAATTCCAAAAAGCAGCAGCTACCTGCAAACTGTATCCCAAAGCCACTTGATTATCTACATGATAGAAGACTGGTTGGTGGTTTGGAACAGTTTTTTTTTAAACATATATTGGGAATTTATGGGAATTTCATCATCCCAACTGACGAACTCATATTTTTGAGAGGGGAGGTCAACAATCAACCAGTTATTTAGGCATGGGCGAATCACCCGTGAAGAGAGGTGATCAATGGGGCCAAGAGAATTCGAAGGCCTCACTGGACTTTGGAGCAGTGGAGCTACCAGCAATTTGCGGCGTTGGAGCCCTGTCAGATGTAATCAGGTAGTACTGGATCACACTTCTATCCCTGGTGTTTGACGTAGTGGATTGTACATTGCTGCCTACAAGGCAGCCATGATCCTCCCTTTTGATCCCTTTTTTACTTAGGAATTATCCAAGCCAAACAGTTTTAAATCCTGGTGCTTTGCACTATGGGAAAAGCAGAAACCCTACAGTTGGTCGCAAAAGCCATGTTTTCAAAAGCAATCCACTGAGGCATCCACCATGCTTTGTACGTTAATTAAGTGAAAGTACCTTGTGTGTTCCCCACTGGTGTTCCCCCTTAGTGTTTGTGTATGGGTGTCCATCATTTTCGGACAGGGTCACTTCCATGTTTCACTGCAAAATCTTTTTTTTGCCCTGGCAAAACCACAGTTTTTGTCCTTTTTTTATGGTAGTTTTATGATGTTTTATGACTTATATCCCACATGTGCTGGTAAGACCACCATTTCCCATGCTTAAAACAATACACGCAGTTTCTTGTTGCTGCCCAGGTCTTTCCATGGTTTGATGCTTCAAACAATACACAATATTTTGCCAAGGATCTCTCCAAGATCTTCCAGTCTGTGCGCGGCAACATCTCCCGCACCGGCAACGCCTCTCCTTCGACGCCGGCGGTGCTCTGCGGGGCGATGGCGGACTGGCCAGCCATGAAGCTGTGGACGTTGCCGGCCTTTGCAGAGGACGCTTTTCCCTGGTGGAGGTAGATATGGAGGTTTCCAAAGTCATGAGGGTACGCTAAATCCACAACTCATTCGACCTTTGTAGTATTGAAACCCAACTTGGGGTACCCCCATGTTTGGAAACCCCCATATCCATCGATTCCGACCATGGGCCCTGGAAGACCTGGAAAGGCTTCAAACGTGTTTTTCTTTTTATTACTACGGGTTATGCATGGTGAAAACATCATTAAAAATTCTACGGTGTGTGTGGTTTGATGATTTTGTGCTCGGCTGATGCTTTGACCACTACTGTAAAATCCAGGCTATGTCCGAGTCCTTGTAGTCGATTATTTATTTTGGAGATGTGCTCTTCGTGTGTCAGTGGCATCCGGGGGAACAGGTCTACTGTTTGATCATTAAACATGGTGGGCTGGAAAACCTATTTAGATGATCATCCAATATCATCCACACATTACAAATTTCCCATCGCAAGGTTAAATTACTGTACGGTAGATTTACTCCGTCTAAAATTAGACATTGCAAAAATCTTGCAATCTCTGATCAGTTTAGAGGGGTTGGCATTTGTTCTGCACGGATTTCAGCCTCAAGCCGCACTGAGGATTTTGGACACCAGAAGATCATTTGCGATCATCGCTTTGGCATCCGGCTTCGGATGAATGATTTCATCGATTATTTGAAGAAGCAGGCGCCTAGCATTTGTGGCATTAAACGCTAATCATTCCCGTAATGACATCGCAAAGGGCCAATCATGATGGACAATGCCAACAACACATTAAGATATATTAAAATTACGAGGGCCACATATTGCCTATTTTCATTGGCATTTGTTTTTTAATTCTGTGTTTTTTGAGTCCGACTCGTCCAGTCCTTTGTTTCGGCGCCAGGAAGACGATTCCCCGCTCTATTTGTTCGACCATTGCTTTGGGGAGTACCCTTCCACCAGAGCATTGCTGAAGCACTACAGTGTGCCACCCGTCTTTGGCCAGGACTGAGATGAATAGTGGCAGCATCCATTTCAGGATGAGGCTGTAAGTAAGGCGTTTGATGTTTACATGTGATATCATGTGATTATATAGTGCAAGATTATGATCTATGAATGAATAAAGCACCCTCAGGTAATGTCAGTGTTTTGGTGATGTTTACTTTAATTATATAGCAATGTTTGATCGTAAATCGTAGATCTACAGTATTATGTTCCTTCTCATATCTGAAGCATGACGATAAATCATGATAATTCTGGAACAGACAACAGGATGGAGAGAGTATGGAAGAATGGGGACTTCAAGGCCATCACCTGCCAACATAGGAAGGCATGGCAGATGGGATGGCACCCAAGACATGGGGCATGGGCTGAAAATATCCCCAGAGCCAGAGCGGAGATGTTTCTTCTGATAATGGTGTTGGGGATTCTCTCCTGCCATTTTAGAATGTCTTACTGGTAGGAAAACAAAGAATCTCAGCAAGATCAAGGAGGGTGGAAGAGAGAGATCCCAAAAGATCACACACACACATATTATATTATATTCTATTATATATTATATTATAGTTTATTATATTATATTATATTATATTGTATTATATTATATTCTATTATATTATTTTATATTATATTATATTTTGTTTTATTATATTGTATATTCTATTATATTATATAATATAATATTATATTATTTTTATATTATTATTATATATTTTATATATATTATATATATGTATATATATTATATATATATATATTATTTATATATATAACACTGCTACTTGGACTGCACATTTTCTGTCACTAAAGCGCTCTGCTGAACGAGCTGTTGGTGCAAGTCCATCCGGCTTCTTCTATGCCACGGAGAACAATGTGCCGTTGCCTTTAACTGCTCCTGTTGTGGTACGGGGACTGGATTTCATTATTGAAGATTTAAGGTTGCACGACCCATAAATACTTCAAGATCTTACACGTATTCGGTGTGAAAACCCATGGAAAATCCATGGTCTCCCTGGATTTCCTGCAGATTTTCCAGGATTTTCCCTTCGAAGACGGTGAAATCCATGGCTCAGCAGGACCTCTTGGAGCTGCTGGGGCCGCTACGACCGCCCTATCGATGGCTGCTGATTGGTCCACGCCGCTCGGGGAGCACCTTACACAAGGCGATCCCAGATGGGGAGTACCTGCTGGGCACTGCTGGGTGGTTGTTTCAATAGTAAGGGAAATCATCCCCCAAAGAGGCTTATTTCAGGTCATTGAAATGTTATAATTTACCCAGATTTATAAAGTCATGATTTCGTAAGGATTTAATGGTGGTGTTCATGATTTGAATGGGTAATTAAACCATTGAACAAATATGAAAAACTGCTAAGAATTTGAAGGAGATGTGAGCAGTGACCTGATGACCTAATGTTTGTAGCGATGATGATTTGGCTGCTGGTTTCAATCATGCTTTTTACTGTTAAACAATCATATTTGGGATGATGATCCCAATGAGCAGCAACACGTTGCCCACAAAATCTTATATTAGATTATTTTTGGGATTTACCTTGGTATTCAGATTCTGTACCGAGAAGCTGGGTATGAATTGCTATACACAGTGCGCTGCCGATTTCGATGAGAAAGCTGAGACATGCTCAGAAATGGGCTGCTCAATTGAATTCGTCCCGCTTATTCTCCAAGGTGCTCCTCACCACAGGGAAGTTTAATCGTTTCAAGATTTGTTTCAGACGAAGGTGAGCTCATTTGGCTTACAAGGTGTTGAAGATGTGGGAAAGAATGTGGCTAGGATTATGCGCTGACACCATCGTTTGCCCAAGAATCTACAAGACGTTCATGTATCTTAACATCCATATCATGACATGTGGCTCAGCATAACATGATCATACATTTTCCATCTACATCATACCAAAACAATTCCAATACAGTATGAAAGCATGGAAGCTGTAACCGGATTAGATTTAAATCACAACATGAGGGATATGTGTTCTGCTTTCACAACCACCTAATGAATCATCCTTTTCCACACATATGTTTCTATAAGAATCGAAACATGTTGATCCGCATCACATGACCATCTACGTTGAAACATATAACTATAACAATCGGAACATGTTGATATGCTCACATGATCATCTAAGTTGAAATATTGATCATCATGCTTAGCCGTCCCGCAATACAATCATATATATATATATATAGCGGTTCAACAGGGTATGAGGGCGTGGCAACTCCTCTTAGACTGGCTCACGCCAGCCGAGCGAAACCGACTCACTTGCTGTGCTGTGGCTTTGTGCAGAGAGGTGCAGTGGGTGAGGACAGTGGACCAGAAGGACACACAATGGAAAAACTATTAGCTACTGGACCAAATCAACTGTATGGTTATAAGCTTACCATCTTCCCCATGACCTTTGGAAAGATACATGTCATTACCATGTAGGGCGGGGGGGGGTTTGGGGGGTGTATCCCGATGGTTCCTCATCATTACATCATGATGATGATGATCACTGCGAGTCCGGGCAAACGACGGCGTTGGACCGTAGGATTACCATCCAGTATACTAATTATATACTTTTATATAGCATTTTTGATAGAGAAATCATCTATAAACGGGCCATGTTCATCAATTTTCCATAGAACTAGTTTGATTTACTAGGCCAATTATTTATTTGGCTGGTGGGTCCAATTCCTTGCCATCATTTCCTTCCCACATCGTGTGACGGGGGGGCACCCCAATCATTCAAGTCATTGGACCATGACTGAGTATTGAAACCCATAGTGACTTGGGGATCCCCCATTTTGAGAAAACCTTCAAAAATATAATGTTGCTATTTTACGCGTTGATTTTACAATATCTTGGTCCTGGAAGTGGCTCATTTTTGATCATTCCAATCATTCCAGGCATTGGATGATGTAATGTATGGTAGTATTCCCTCAAAAAGGGGCCTTTCATGCATAAACCTTTAAGATTAGTTTAGATGTTTAAGTACAATCTACTTAGTCTACTTGGAGGGTCATACATTGATCATGTTACTTACTCGCTTACAAGCTTTGTTCATCATGCCGCTAGTTGGGCGATCCCATATAGTTGAAGCATAACTATAGGCTATAGCCCCACTTACCAACTTGTTACAAGCCTCCAAATACTTACTTTACATAGGTAATCCCGCCCTCCGATCATCCCATCCCCAACGTTTGGTGCCCAATTCATAGATAGTTCCAACAGCTTCCAAAATATTGCAACACTGAACCACAGTTTAACGGTTTCCAAGGCTTCTTCAATATGTCTAAACGGAAGTTTCTGTCTCCTCGCTTCTAATATGTCCAATTCTGTGTTTTACTAAAACCAGGTTTCCTCAATTCATGAATAAATCCACCATATTCCACCGAGGGTTTCTAAGTTCTATACTCACCCTGCCTATAACTGGGTTTCTGACTGGCACTTACTGGGCTGAACCAATAAGTATCAGAGGATTTATCTCTATATAAAAACATATGTGTATCATATAATAATCGAACGTTTTTTTTAAACATTCATTTGAATAAATATATATATATGTTATTTAACAAAAATAAAATAACATTAGGGGGAAAATTGGTTAGTTAAAACGATTGGTGCCCCCTTGTTACCTTGCAGGATCCACTTGGAACCAGTGCCTGGAATGCTTTGATCTCGGGCCGTCCCTCAATGGCATTGGGTCTTTCTTTTGGAGACCGCGATGTCGAGAACGGACCAATAGTGAGCCCATGTAAAGCCAAAAAAACCCTCTGGTAAACTAACATAACTATGGAAAATCACAATTTTAAATGGGAAAACTCACTATCAATGGTTTGCAATAGCTATGTGAAATTACGAGAGGGTAAATATGGAAGTCCATGTTCGACAATACTTCACTTCCCATACTGAACAGGCACATGAGTTTTGATACCAGTTGTTTGATGGTTACTTGGAGTGTCTTACCAAGATTCGTCATGTTTCTGGCAGACCAACATGATGGAAGTGGAGCAAGGGCAGGCCTCCCACAGACAAAAAACATGAAAAAACATACAAATAGAAGGCAAATATATAAACATGTTTGTTCCCCAATGGAAAGCAGGTGGGAGCTAATCGGTATAATTACATCAATGTATCAAGCTACCGAGCATGTCAATAGAAAATCTGCGCAATTGCATTGGATTTATCTATCGACTCAAGGTGGTGCTGGTTCATCACCATGTCATGTCACCTTGCTAGTAGGCAAATGTCCAAGGAAGGTGGCTTGCTAGAAGTAAGCATCTACAGTAAATGAACATAAATGTGTCGTATATGACTTACCCTCATGTAAGCAAACATAGATGTGTTTTTTTTATATAGTAGGTAATTACCTATAAACTGGCAATTTTCCACATCTACGTGACATAGACATACATAGACCATGTTGAACCGCAGTTGTATACTGCAAGGTGATCTTGTTCATATCATCCCAGTCCATATGAATGGTTTCAACATCAGTCAATAATAACTGTAAATCTGAAAGTTGTTGCTTGGTTTGTTTTTTTTAAAAATACTTTTCCGACCCCTTTTTTGATCTTTTTGAAGGGATTTGCCACACAATGATCTCCTGATATGCGGATTTTCAAGGCAAATTGTGGGTGCTCTTTCCGCCCGGCACGCCTGCGGAGAAGTTAAGGTACTCAGCTTCGGGCTGTCGGAAAATGGGATATACCCATCCATACACCCCAAAGAAACACTTTTAATATATGCTCGAGTAGGGAAATGATCATAATCCTGGGGGTGCCAGATTCTTGTGGAAGATATCCTTGAATACAGTTGATATGAAGAACCGAGGGGTTCCCACAGAAAAGTATCTACCCTAGAACTGCTAGTTTTTCCATGTCTACATATTAGTTGAATTCCTGCAACGTATACACACCCAGTGGCCGATTCTGGAGTAATTAAATGGAACGGATGTTCATGCGAATGTTATTAGGGGGAAAGGGTGATACTAGAATTATCTTGAAATTGAATGCAACATACTGTGTAGTCATGTGTCGTCTAAGATGTGGTGTCTGGGAGGTATTCAACCTACTGTACCACATGCTGGGGATAATTTTGATTCAAGGCACAGGATTTCCCACACAAATATGATCAGCTTTAAGACATATTGATTTCACCAGCAAGCTGTGTGTGTTTGTGTGTCCCGGAATTGTTTCAGGATAGTTTCGATCAGACGAACAGTCCTGCTTTCCGTAAAACACAATGAGTTCCTGGTAAGCTGTTTGTTCAATCAATCCAGTAAATACCAGGGTTCCCACCACCCCACTCTTTGACGACTACACCCCCCCAAAAAAAATAGAAAAGAACAATATCCAATCCAAAAAAATATCCTAGAATCATGATAAACTTCCATAAACTTCCCATAAACGCAATAATTTTCTTATGTTTTTGCTGGGGTGTTACATGGTGTTTCTTTCCTGAAGAACGATGCTCTGCAGATTTTCCAAGGCCGGAGGTGGCAGCCGACTCCGCGGCGGCCTGGTTTCTGCTTTGGTGGCGCCGAAAACGAGAGGAGTGGCCGTTGGAAGCCATTGAGTCACTGGCTTCGGAATGAACGAAATGGGGAAAAAAAAATGGGGATATGAATGGGATATGAATGGGATTTCCTTAATGAGATTTTAGATCAACTTCATTTTGCCACTTGATAGCTAAGTTGGTTTTTGAAAATAACTCCGATCACATCCAATATAGGTGTTTTATTTTGAGGTCATGGGGTTAATTTGAACCAAGTTGTGACTGGCCTGAATTTGAAGCCGTGAAAAAAGCCTCATGTGGGCCTCGGGACGTTTTCGTTGGTGCAGAGCAGTTCATGGGGGATTGTTTTTGTTAATGCTCATGATATAGGGAAAGGAATGGTGATTGACTGATTATATAACCATGACAATTTGGGGATTATTTGTAGACAAAGCCGACAAAGCCATATGATTCTTATTCTTTTGGTCAAGAATGATAAGGCCTGTCGAAGAGAAGGATCAATGAAAAGGGATCAGACGGATAAGAATTCATGAAATATCGAAATCAAAAACTAAAGGTCAGTTAAATAGAAGGATCAATAAGAAAAGGACCAATGAGACCAGGATCAGCAAATCTCAAAATACATCCATGATATTTCTGGATGGTGCCATGGTTTACCCCGCGTTGCAACCCTCCATCCCCTTGTGCTGCTCGAGGTTCATTCAGGAGCCTGGTGAGATTGTGTTTGTTCCTGCTCGCTGGTGGCATGCGGTACTGAACTTGGAGGACTTTCGCTGGGAGATGGGGGAAGTGGGATGGAAAGCTTTACATATATATATATAACATAAACATATCATAAACATATGTATGCAATATAGGCAAGATACTTGGTCCTACGTCGCACCTTTAGCTCATCTGAACTCCTGGTCAGCAAACGATCTATAATTATTCTGTTTCAATGGTTGTTTGGTGGTATTAATCATGTTTTAGTGTCCATCCCTTCTTGAAATGATTGACTTGCCTCAGTTCTTTGCCTCGGGATGGGACCGGCATTTTGTTCGCAGATGTGCACCTTTTTTGGGGGACAAAACCTGAGGGCATTGGGCCCCTCGGTCCCTCAGTGCCCCATGGTTTTCCAAGGCTTTAGTGGGTTTCAAGCAGCAATTTCCAGGTTCTCTCATTTCAGAACGCTTCAAATCAATCATTTTATCCAGTTCACGCGTCACCAAATACTGTTCATGCATAATCCTTGTCCCATTGGTTGCTTGATCAGTGGGGGCCTCCCTGCATGTTTTGCAACCTCCATTCTGAGTCAGTGGTATCAAACGGACATTTGACCTTTCTTTTTTTTGAAAAGGACATCATGGATTCTGGTGAACCACAGGCACCAACACAACGTAATGAATCGCAAAGATGAAAACCCAGATTGGTGCGACGGAGCCTGACTTTACCCCAGGGTTGGTAAATTATCCATTCCCCCTTATAAATTGCCTACCCCCAAAGAAAAAGGTTAGAGAATCCCTGAAATGTTTCTTTGGGGATGTCATGTGTTGTTTCCTCTTTTATATGCGTGTAATAAAATATAAGGATGGAAGTACCTCCAGCAATCCAAGCTAGCCATTAATTGGAGATGTTTCTTTCCATTTCTATTTACAGCTGGGCTTTCTCAGCTGTGTTTGATGATCACCTTGGGCCACCAAGGACACCATTGCGGTGACCCAGAATTTCTGCAACGAGTGGAATGCTGCTGCGGTCCCTTGACAGACGCTGTGGAACTTCATGGAATTTCAATCTGATTTTGCGACAGAACATGGCTAGAGACTGCGGAGAATCAAGAAATGAGTGCAACATATTGGGTTTAAAGTCCAGCAAACTGTGCTGTATAAACACAGTAATTAAAACAGACAGGGGTCGACCAACAATGACTATAGTTTGGGAGTGGTTGCTAGCAAGATTAGCAAGCATCCAGTGTACAACAACAATGAAGCACATGAAAATCCAAGATGTGCATTGCATCGCTACTCCATGGAAGATGTTATATCGTAAAAAGAATAATAGTTCCCCCCATCAAAGCACATCATCAAATGGGGATGCTTCGTTTGGGAACTCATCTTACGGTGAAATAATATGACCCTAAGTCATGTTGGGGAAATGTACGAACTCATCTAGAACATGTGTTATGATAGACAACCCGAAAGTGACACTCCGTCCTTGTCCCCATCAGCGGGGAAACAATGAACCAGGATTTATTCCTCTAGGCGTTCATCTTCCGTTTTTTGAAACGGCCCCCATATGTTCTTGCTCACTCCTTGGGTGACTAGTTGGTTAAAGGCTGTCTGTACCAACCTCTCAAAACTTGAGATTGACTGAAGATATTGCCTGAAATTCCTTTTCCATCCTTTTCCCTTGGTCAATTTACCGCTTTGGAATCTACATTTGGTCACAACAAAATCCCTAGGTTTGGCGATGTGCAAAGGCCACGCATCCCATCCTGGCCCGTCAGCTGTGCTCCATCTTCGATTCTGAAGGGATCCAGCTGGATGCACATCCAGTGGAAGGGGATGACCCCAGCCAGTCCTACCTGAAGCTTTTTCGCAACATGGGATGGATTTTTTGGATCCAAAAAATAGTTGTTTTTGTTGCTGAAAATGCACTGAAAAAAGTTAGCTGTGGCTATTGAAGTATTGTTCACTGATGGCATTTTTTTTTCTATGGTTACTGGCTACCGGGGCTTTTTTACCAACATATTTGGGACCACCTTATTGGTTTGGGACCCGTTCTGTCAACGAGTTCCCACTGTACTGGGAGCTGGTGCAAGAAAGCCCACGTTTCGATGTAGATTCAAAACAAATAAACATATAACTCGGTCTCCCAGCTGTGAAATGTTAAATTCCCATGGAAGTTCTGATGAAGTATACAGTACACATGGTTGAATGGGGTGAACTAGCCATTCCGATGTCATAAGTTATAACTTAAAGTTATAACTACCTGAGAGCAGGAGCAAGACTAATTATAGTGGTTAAACCGTTAGTTAAACCATCATTATAGTGGTTAAACATGGTAAAACCCTACTTTCTCTCTTTTTCTCTACTTCGGTTGAAGCTGAAGCTTCCTGTTTTGTTTGTTTCAGTCGAGCCTTAGCGGTGAAAAACACCTCCAAGGTTCGATCTGCCAGCGAGTGAACCTCCTGAGCCCGACAAAACCGAAAATCCACAGGACTCTTCAGACGATGAGTATCTCACATGGCTTTCGGTGAAGCGGCAAAAATGGACGTGCATCACACACACACACAAGAGAAATAGAGCTTGTGTGATGCTGATGTTTATTTTTCTGGGTGGTTGAGTCTAGAATTCAAATGGAGGGGCTGATATTGGCAGTTGGGTGCTTGCTTTTTTTCCCAACCCTGATGCTAAGGAGCCCCGAATATGGAATGATCTCCAAGTGTAGGTGGATATTGGCTCCACAACATTGGTTGATTCCTGGATATTCTGCAAGTTCCAATCGCTAATAAATGACGTTTAGTAGGGGATTTCAATGGATTTCACCCCCAAAGTTTTATGAAAAATCCAACACTTCAGCTGGGTGAGCTTCACTTCCTCAGAATCATCTTCTGGGCCGCATCCGATTTTCAGGGTGTGTCTCATCACATGGGGTTCCTATATGTTCCTATATGTTCCTATGATAAACATATTATATTATATAGCGACGGACTGAAACTTAGAATGCCGCACCCCTTCCGGACGCGCTGTCCTAAAGAATGCCGCCGCGGGGGCAAAATCTTAAAAAACCCTGGTAAAATGCAATTTTCGGGTACCTGTAATTTTACAGGTACTTTTTTAAATGAATCGTTCGTAGGTAAATTTTGTGAGAATTTACAGCGTAATATGAGATTGAGTGCCACACATAGAATGCCTCCGGCCAAAAGTCCCGGTCGCAGCATGTCAAACATTTGACGCCCATATTTTCAAAATACTCGGTATACGTGGGGTTTTATGTACTTTGTGCAGCCCACATAGAATGCCGCCAAAAACATATACAAATGTCATCATGCTGTTGCAAAATCTCTGTTTTTTTTTATGAAACACATGGTTTGAAGGATTGTATAAATCTACTATTTCATATTAATAATTGTATATAAATCCAATCTCATGGGAGGTATTCTTTCCTTTTTCCTTTCCTTTTTCCTGTCCTTTTTCCTTTCCTTTTTCCTTTCCTTTTTCCTTTCCTTTTTCCTTTCCTTTTTCCTTTCCCTTTTCCTTTCCTTTTTCCTTTCCTTTTCCTTTCCTTTTTCCTTTCCCTTTTCCTTTCCTTTTTGCTTTCCTTTTTCCTTTTCTTTTTCCTTTCCCTTTTCCTTTCCTTTTTTTTCCTTTCCTTTTTCCTTTCCTTTGTCCTTTCCTTTCTCCTTTCCTTTCTCATTTCCTTTCTCTTTTCCTTTCTCCTTTCCTTTCTCCTTTCCTTTCTCCTTTCCTTTCTCCTTTCCTTTCTCCTTTCCTTTCTCCTTTCCTTTCTCCTTTCCTTTCTCCTTTCCTTTCTCCTTTCCTTTCTCCTTTCTTTTCTCCTTTCCTTTCTCCTTTCCTTTTCTCCTTTCCTTTCTCCTTTCCTTTCTCCTTTCCTTTCTCCTTTCCTTTCTCCTTTCCTTTCTCCTTTCCTTTCTCCTTTCCTTTCTCCTTTCCTTTTTCCTTTCCTTTCAACCAGACGGTTTTACACTTAGAATGCTGCCAAAAATGTTACACATAGAATGCGTCCACGGGTTTTGGGTGCATGGGTTGTATGATTTTTGCTGATTTCCACATGAACTATGCTTTCCTTGACGATTTTTGTCCTTCCCGGCTGCATTTGTAACACTTAGAATGCCACACCAATCCTTTCCTTTCTCCTTTTCCTTTCTTCCTTTCCTTTACCTTTCCTTTCTTTCTTTCCTTTCTCCTTTCTTTCTTCCTTTCCTTTCTCCTTTCCTTTCTTCTTTCCTTTCTCCTTTCCTTTCTCCTTTCCTTTCTCCTTGCCTTTCTCCTTTCCTTTCTCTTTCCTTTCTCCTTTCCTTTCTCCTTTCCTTTCTCCTTTCCTTTCTCCTTTCCTTTCTCCTTTCCTTTCTCCTTTCCTTTCTCCTTTCCTTTCTCCGTTCCTTTCTCCTGAAACTCACAAATGCGATTTAGGGGACAACAACTAGCATATTCACACCAGAACAGGGGATTATATAATAAATTTTATATACCATCAAGAGTTTAAGTCTATATCTCTAATAGCAACGGACTGATACTTAGAATGCCTTGGACCAAAAAAATATTGAAAGGGTCTCCAGATATGGCGATAATCATGCGCACTTAGAATGCCTCATAAAAGTCCAGCTCGCAGGTTTGAATGTTTTAGCGATGGAGGCATTCTAAGTGAGGCCAAAAAAAAGGCATTCTAAGTGGCACCGTTAAAAATCTCAACAAACATGGCGGCATTCTAAGTTTCAGTCCGTCACTATATATATATATAAACATCATTTTCCCGAGTAAGAAAACTTCAAAATTCACCCATCCCCCAGTTTTATCATCAGAAATCCATAGAAATCCATCAGTGACATCCACGAAAAGCGCAGCGCCGCACCGAGGCCTTACAGCGGTCATTTGGTGAACAATGGTGTCACCTGGGGCATCACTGACACCATCCTGTGACTTGGATTGGACTTGGATGACTTGGCGCCAGGCGCCAGAAACATTCAAGTTTGACGGGTTTTACCATCTGGTTATGACTAACATAGCCATGGAAAATGGCCCATTTATAGATAGTTTACATTGGTTTACCTATTAAAAATGGTGATTTTCCATGGCTATGTTAAATAACCAGATGGTAATATGTTTTAATTTACCCGTTGGTAATGCAACATGGCAATTGAAATTCACCATGTTGATAGTTTTTTTTAAATAAATCTAAATGATATGGCCTTTTGCAATATATATATATATATATAATTACCATTTCAAATTTGCAGAGGGTATACCATGGGAATTGCTTACTATTGGGCTTACCGGTTTACCACGTTACTCGAAAAAATGATTTTGCTTCATGTTTTATAGATGGGTGTATAATATATAAACAAACAAAGAAATAGAGAGAGATAGATTAGATAGATAGATTAGATTAGATTAGATTAGATTAGATTAGACTAGATTAGATTAGATTAGATTAGACTAGACTAGATTAGATTAGATTAGAATAGATATATAGATAGATAAGATGGAAAAACTAGATAAGATAGATAAGATGGATTAGATAGATAGATAGATAGACAGACAGATAGATAGATAGATAGAATAGATAGAATAGATAGAATATATAGAACAGATGGAACAGATGGAATAGATAGAATAGATAGACTAGATAGACTAGATAGACTAGATAGACTATATAGATAGATTAGATCGATTAGATCGATTAGATCGATTAGATAGACTAGATAGATTAGATAGACTAGATAGATTCGATGGATTAGATAGATTAGATAGATTAGATAGATTAGATAGATTTGATAGATTAGATAGATTAGATAGATTAGATAGATTAGCTAGATTAGATAGATTAGATAGATCAGATAGATCAGATAGATCGGGTAGATAAGATAGACAAGATAGATAAGATAGACAAGATAGATAATATAGATAAGATAGACAAGACAGGCAAGACAGATAAGACAGATAAGACAGATAAGACAGATAAGATAGATAAGATAGATAAGATAGATAAGATGGATAAGATGGATAAGATGGATAAAATGGATAAGGTGGAAAAGCTAGATAAGATAGATAAGATGGATTATATAGATAGATGGATGGATGGATAGATAGATAGGTGGGTAGGTAGGTAGATAGATAGATCGATCACATCCATTGAGCGTTTAGCCCGCTTAGCAGTGGATGCACGAAGAAAAGGATTAAGCTCCGTTTGTAGATTACGGCTGAATTTGCGTGATACAGTAATTCAGTGACAGCTGGTGGTGTAAATCATTTGTTGATTGTTTGAATAAGCGGAAATCAATGGATTTGATGGAAGAAACAGAAGCCCGATGAGACTTGAAGCGGAATTAGTTGATTAGCGAATGGCTGGTGGCCAACGAATTCATCTATAGTTGGAAGATGGAGGATATCCATAGGCCAACATCAGCAGAGGGCCTGTGGCAGACAGGAGCATAGCATGATCCAGTAACCTGGATGCATTTTCACAACTTAACTGCGACCGAACCCTGGAATCATGGTTAGTAGGGGTAACTATCCCCAAATGTCCTTATTTTTCAGGTTAGTGAAATATCAACATGCAGACATATTAACAATGTGGTTGATAACCATATTATAGTAAAATCAGTATGTATGGGATATACGCAGCTTTGATATAACTATAACTATACATGACTGTTTTATGTTGCGTATATATATATATATATATTATATTTAGCTACGGAGCAGTGGTTGAAAACCATAAAACCACCATTAAACTTATACAGCCACAATAAGTTCTACTGGTGTGTAACCATAATAACCATAATGATAAACCTCACTGGATATTATATACCCTTCGGTAATCAGATGGCAGTGGAACACCCATCATTTAGTTCGATGTTTCCCTTAGAATCTCCGTTTATGGTTCGAATATTCCCATGTGTTCTCATGATTTTCCGGTGTCCTAAATCGTCCCATGATTTTCCATTTCAAAATTGGATCTTCACCCCTTCAACCATTGAAGTTTTCCACAGCGTTGAGGAAATGGGACGGACTAGGGCCGCCACCCCCGGAGCTTTCCCTGCGGCCACCCGGGCCACCAGAACCCAAACCAGAGGACGTCGTGCAGGGGAAAGGCAAGTGTTTTATTGGCGGTTAATGGAGATTTAACCATGAATTATAGGGATTTATATTTGGGTTGAGCATTGGTTAACATTGGTTAACATGGGTTAACATTGGTTCAGTATCAAACATACATATGGGGATATAATGGGATACATATATATATATATATATATATTTATTTATAATCAATAAGATAATTGATGTTTGATTGGTTGTTACAGGGAGTTATGCTACCTGGGGTATTGGGGATTATGAACTAACCCATAGTAGGGAAACTTATCAGCCATAGTCAGTTTCAGTTGGATGTTTCCTAAGTCATGGGGGACCCCCAAGTCACCATGGTTGTTTCAATATCATGGTTTAGTATGGTTTAGTGACAGATTGTTTTTCAAGATTGTTTTAATATCATGCATCCTTCACTGAAGCGTGGCACGGCTTTTGCTTGACCAGATCCATTCTTGGATGGCTATCACAGGAGAAAAGACCCTCCTACGTTACATATTTTATATACACACTACATCATATGTAAGATCTACGACCTATTTAGTTTGGTCCATACCATGCTGCTGACTAAAGAACATCAGCAAAAATATGTGGTATCGTTTAACGTTTGGTCCATTGTTTCAATGCAAGTGTCCATGGTCATTGCAAAGTTAGTTTCCACATGTTTTTTCGTGACAGGAACAGCAACGAAGAAAGAAATTTGCTGAACAGGTGCCAATTGGATCGAGGGCGGGTTGCTTTCCCCGATCCTCGGAGATCACGACTGGATCCCCAGGGTCTTTAATTTGGACGGTGGTATTGTTTCTGCATGTTGGACCCTCTAGCAACTTTAGGTGGACAACTACATGTGCATGTGCTACAGTGTATATATCTATGGTTTGCATATGTGTATATATATATGTTATATGTTATATTAAATATGATATTTTATTTGTATTTAAATATACATATATAATTATGACATTTATTGACTACAAACAGATGCCTAGCTTGATTTATAACCTGCGGCTTTCACCAGTCTCTGCCATTTTCAGGCGGAAGAGCACGGCAAGGCTGGAGGGGGAAGCTGTTTGCATCGCTGCAGCAATCCTCCAATAAGATAGACCCCAAATGGATCCAAATGGGGATTATAGGGGATTATACTACCGAATATATTGGTGATTATAATAATCCAATAGGGGAATCCCTATAAACCAACCAGTATAATGGAATGATAGACTGGAAGACTGGAAGACGAGTTTTCTCTTTCTCATGGGCGATTTTGAAGGTTTTTGTTGATGGCAATACAAGTCATCAGTTGAAGAGGTCTTGATACACGTGTGTTTCAATCAAGAAGGAGGGGCTTGATTCGGAAATAAAGGTTCACTCTATCATTTATGTAAAGCAAACATCCATAGAATGGAATTGAGTCGAATCTTGACACATGTCTCTACTCATTGTAGACACTTCGGCGGGTTGTCATGTCGCAAGAGGAATCCCCGCAGCCAACAAAAGTGGCTCAGCGGTCGATCATCTGAAAAGTATGAAAGTGGGGGTCATCATCCCAGGTTTTCAAGGGAAATGAAGGCAAAAACGAGCCAACCTCCCACACAAGTGAAATCATTTACATGTACTGTACTTCGCAATTGGCAGCCGGCAAACAATCTGTCGTGCATGAATTCCTTTGCATGCTTAGACCCATTTTTTATCTACCTTGGATGTTTGGGGGTGATAGGAAACAAGCAAACAGAGGGCTAGTGATAGGAAACTTGCTGAGTGATATCAAAGGACTTTGCTAAGTTTGTTTTACAGGGTCACCAGAAAAGGCACATGCATGGCTTTGGCGATTGATGTAACACCGATTTCTGGGTGACCTGTGTATCATTTGGTTACGGTTGTTTAACCACGTTTGGTGACCACTTACCATATGATGGTTCTTGGTTTAGTCATGTTTCATCACCGTGTGAGAACCGTGATATGCACAAATTGGTGTAGTTTACGGTTACGTGTTTTTTTGTTTTACCACTTGCAGTTCCTGGGTTGTAAATTCCAGGCTCTTTTGGTTCTAGGCTTAGGCTCCATGCGGAGCAACTTCTGCCACCAGGAGAAGATGAGCCTGTACGGCTCATCTGCGCTGGACAAGGTGAAATCCAGATCCTCGCCGTCGACAAAGATCACGAAGGGAATATGTTCCATTGATTTACCTACTCATCATGGTGATGTCCCATGGTTATGTGATTTTACTGGTGGGTAATCATGATCTTATGTATGAATAAATAAATAAATAAATGAATAAATATAAATATATATATATAAAAATATGTAAAAAAAAAACTTAACATATTTAGAATACATCCGACAAACCATTCTGGCACGTTGGATGGAACTAATTTTCCCAGCAGGGACTTCCCACAGGCCTTCAAGGGTGAGAGAAAGCCAATGACGCCCACTGATCTACTCATGTCTGTTGCTTTTAGTAACAAAGGTGCCGTTTGCTTTATCTATAATTAATTATATCTATATATCTATGATTATATCTATATATATAATTATCTATATATATAATTATATCTATAGATCTATAATTAGATCTATATATCTATAATTATATCTATATATATCTATAATTATATCTATATATCTATAATTATATCTATATATCGATAATTATGTCCATATATCTAGAATTATATCTATATATCTATAATTATATCTATATACTTATAATTATATCTATATACTTATAATTATATCTATATATTTATAATTATATATCTATAAATAAAATTATATCTATATATCTATAATTTTATCTATATATCTATTATTATATCTATATATCTATAATTATATATATATATATGTAGAATTAAATCTATATATCTAGAATTATATCTATATATAATTATATCTATATATCTATAATTATATCTATATAACTATGATTATTTCTATAGATCTATAATTATATCTATATATCTATAATTATCTTTATAACTTTATTTAGTTATATCTATAATTATATTTTATACCTATAATTAATTATATCTATATATATATAACTATAATTATGTCTGTATATCTATAATTATATCTATATATCTATCATTTATCTATATATCTATGTCTCTCTCTCTCTCTCTACAGATATAACTATATATATAATATATATAAATTATGATCATGTATTGTAAGTCTCCTCAATTTCGGTTAGATCGGTTTCATGGATCCCAGCCGTTTTTCAGATAAATTGGGGTCATGTTTTTTTTTCAAAAAATGGCTGGCTGGGATAGAGATTGAGATTTGCCACCAAACGTTCAGATATTATATAGAACATATATATATATATTATATTATATTATATTTTATTATATATATATATTTAATATCATTTCATATTATTTATATATATATTAACTGATATATATATATATATCATAACAACAGATGTATTGAGAACCATCGCAAATCACCCAACATTTCAGGATTGTTTGGGCTTGGTGAAGTAAATTCCGCCAACATCTATGCTTTAAGGAGCCGACATTTTGGCCACCTTGGGCTTCGATGATCAGCACATCTACGGCGTGGATGGCTTGGTGCGATGGTTTTGGGTTTGGGCTGTGGCAGGATTCGGAGTGTGGGGTCGTTACTTCCATCCACTTCGAAGAGGATGGAATGAGGTGCCGTTGTCCTCAACTTACATGAACATATGTATAAGTATATATATATATATATATTTACACATGTATATATGTATATATCCTTATACAATCCAATCCTTGTCAGCTCATTTGTTTTGGTGAAAGGACCCCATGCTGGATATAGTAACCCAAGATATCAAAAGATATCCATACTATAATACTGGCAATCGGCCAGTTTGGGACAGGATTTTGAAGCCAATCCCGTCATCCCGTTTTGGCTCAGCGGCGGTAGACGGTGTGCAACGGCCCAGCTCACCCGCTCCGAGACGGGCGCCATGGATGAGACGGTCTTGGTGACCTTAGCGCGTGTGGCGGAGCGCGCCGAACGCTACGATGAGATGGCGGATTTCATGAAGCAACGCGTGGCTGGGCCAGGTGGAATTGAGGAAAAGCCTCGATCCAGGTGGACAAAAATGATAGAAAAGCCTCGATCCAGGATGTTGTATATGATTTTTTCCACCATGATGTCCAGGTTTTCCAACATGTTCCAACTGTTCTATCTATTTGGGGGTTGCTATAGAACATGCCAAACATATGGGGATACATGGGGATACCATTTTTGAGTGAATCTGCTGCAATTGAGATGTGTTTTTTGAAACGGTGGGGTGATGATCATTGAGATGTTGGAGACTTCTGGATCAGGCGATTCCATCGGGGCTAGCTGGACTGAAAGGCAGGCCTTCTCCTGCCATTGGTCGTTTGTTTGCCTTCCATATAGACTCCATACTGGCCGCAGTTTTGGCTCTGTGCGGAGGCAATTTTCCTATCATATTGCTAAGCACTCGATTGTCATTTGTTTTGACAGCAATCACGGCTTGCGGTGTCAATCGCTTCATGTTGCGTTTTCTGTCCATGGTGATGGTATAAACCCAATGATAGGGGATGATGTTTACCGCCCATTTCTGGTGACATTGGTTGTGGATGGTTTTCACGTGGGTTCACCCATTATTAGTTGTGCATGCATTGTCATGCATTGTTTCTGGCAAGTCTGGCATGGACTGGCAAGTATGTGGGATGGCGTGGCATTACCAGCAAGTCCGAAACTCCCATGGCAACCAAGGTTCAGGTAGGTTCTGCGCTGAATCCAGAGGACGGCGGTCAGGAATTAAGATGACTGAGCAGATCAGATTGTTTTTTTGTGAAAATGGTCGCTCATACTGACTCATACTGGATATTGGTTTTGGTTTTGATTCAGTTTTGATGATTTATCACAAGCTAGAACAGCCAAGACCAGACCCTGAAAAAAAAAACAACACCATCACATCACAGGTAGAATTGCAATGATCGGGTAAGCAGTAAGCAATTTATATTTCTTGGTATTCATTCAGGCTTTGAGAAGGTGAAATTATTATTCAAATTGAATCATGCCGATTTTACATATTCAGGTTTCAGATCTAAAATGAATGCATTAAATTTTGTTACATGTTCAATTTCTCTTCAGATTTCATGGCGCTGATTGTGGTGAACCACTATCCCATCAATTCTCCAATAGTTATCCGTGAATTCTCCATGACTTTGGTTTCAACCCTAGCCGCGCCACGCCGTGACAGGAGCGCGACATGTTCTCCGCCGCCTTCAAGAACTCCTTGACAGAGCGGCGTCACGCCGTGCGTGTGGCGGCCGGCGTGGAGCAGATGGAGCTCTCCGAGGGACGAGACGCGTGGCTTTCAGTTCGATGCCAGTGGGCTGGAGATGCTGTGAGCTCTCTGGAAGTTTGGGTTAAGTAGATGGATTTGAAAATTGGGATATAGTGGGTCAATAATCCACTTAACAACTAGTTAGTTAATTCCATGGCCCGTCTAAGTGTGTGGTGAACCCCCTTAGTGGTACGCTTTACCCTTTGGTAGTGACTCACATGCTATTGAAAACCACAAGCCACCAAGAGAGAGAGAGAGATAGAGATAAGTAAATCATGCATGGTGTTGTTGCATTCAAACCAGGGCAACGCGCAGCAACAGATTGTGCGAAATGTGCGGATATCACGAAAGTTTCCTAGTGGAAGCGATGGTCAGTAGTGGGGTTTTGCTGTACGATATCGGAACGGGGAGAAAACCCTGTCAGGTGACTTTGAGTTTGAACATGTTTGAACCCTGAGTCGTCCCTTCTGCCTCCTGGTTGCTTAGAATGAATCCCAGCAACTGGATACTGGAATTAAAGATGTTGTTGTTATACTGGACGAGAATGACACCAGAGCTCAAGCATGGTGCAAGTCTAACATCATGGCACAAGCATGGTGCAAAAAAGGGCCGGCTAAGGAAGCATATGCCTCGTTGGCCGGAGGTTATCGATCCAAGATGGAGGCGTCGATGGGACTTTAGGAGGCGATGGGACTAAAAAAATGAACAAAAAAGGGGTCCTCAATCATGTTTATTTACCCTCTGGTAATTTAACATAGCTATTGAACATGGTCCATAATCATTTATAGTTGATTTACCTATGAATCGTGGTGATTTATTGTATTAGTTTGCCACAGGGTAAATTCTTTGAGTCTGATTGGGATGGCCGTTGCCAGGCGGAACTTCAGGAGATTTGCTCCAATGCCCTGACCCTGTGCGGATCTCAAGGATGCTCCGGGAGATGTTTTAGTTTTCCGGTGACCTCCAAATGGCAACCTTATATTGTCGCATGTTTTTTTCATATGTGAGTTGTCTTATATTGTGACATGTGTTTTTTTTTTTGTGAGTTGTTTTATAGTGTGGCAGGTTTTTTTTGTAGTATATAAATATTATATATATATGAGTTGTCTGATATTGTGGCATGTTTTTTTTTTAAATATGTGAGCTGTCTTATATTGTGACATGTGTTTTTTGGATGTTTTTTGGATAAGTGAGTTGTCTTTTGTTGTGGCATTTTTTTAAATATATATCTGTGTTGTTTGATATCGTGGCATGTGTTTTTCAATATTTGAGTTGTCTTATATTGTGGCATGTGTTTTGATTTTTCATATGTGAGTTGTCTTATATTTTGTCATGTGTTTTTTTAATGTGAGCAGTCGTATATTGTGGCATATTTTTTCAATAATGTATATATATATGAGTTGTCTGATATTGTGGCATGTTGTTTTTTCATATGTCAGATGTCTTATATTGTAACATATGTTTTTTGGATATGTGAGTTGTCTTTTATTGTGGCATATGTATTTGTTTTTTTTCATATCTGTGTTGTTTGATATCGTGGCATGTGTTTTTCAATATGTGAGTTGTCTTATGTTGTGGCATGTGTTTTGATTTTTCATATGTGAGTTGTCTTATATTGTGGCATGTGTTGTTTTTTCACATGTGAGTTGTCTTATATTGTGGCATGTGTTTTTTTTCATATGTGAGTTGTCTGATATTGTGGCATGTTTTGTTTTTTATATGTGAGTAGTATTCTTTTAGTGTGGTATGTGTTTTTTTTTTTTAATGTGAGTTGTCTGACAGTGTGGCATAGGTTTTTTTTTAAATGTGAGATGTCTTCTATTGTGGCATGTGTGTTTTGAATTTGAGCCGTCGTATATTGTGGCATGTTTTTTTTTCATATGTGAGTTGTCTTATATTGTGGCATGTGTTTTCTTTCTCTTATGTGAGTTGTCTTATATTGTGGCATTTGTTTGTTCATATATAGTTGTTTTATGTTGTAGTTGTTCTTTTTCATTTGTGGGTTGTTTTATATTGTGTCATGTGTTTTATCATATATATGTGAGTTTTCTGCTTTTGTGGCATGTCTTTTAAATATATATATATATATGTGAGTTGTCTTATGTTGCGGCATGGTTTTTTTTTTCGTATGTGAGTTGTCTTATATTGCGGCATGTGTGTTTTTTTTGTTTTTTGATATGTCAGTTGTCTGATATTGTGTCATGTATTTTTTTTCATATGTGAGTTGTCTCCTATTGTTGCGTTTTTTTCATATGTGTTTTTTTTTATATTGTGACATGTGTTTTTTTCACATGTGAGTTTTCTTATTTTGCGGCATGTTTTTTTTTCCATATGTGAGTTGTCTTATATTGTGGCATGTGTTTTTTTGTTTTATATGTAAGTTGTCTTATATTGTGGCATGTTTTTTTTCATATTTTTATTGTGGCATGTATTTTTCAATATTTGAGTTGTTTTATATTGTGGCATTTTTTTTCATATGTGAGTTGTCTTATATTGTCAATTGTGGCATGTGGTTTTGCATATGTGAGTTGTTTTTTTGAATTGTGGCATATGTTTTTTTTCATATCTGAGTTGTCTGATATCGTGGCATGTGTTTTTTTCATATG